CACACAGGAGGACACTTCGGTCTCACACTGACCCCACCGGACTACAGCTGTTTAGGCTTTTACACTTTCTTATTAATCAGCAGAGGTGCAGTGTGGAGGCAGGCCTACTTAAAGGACAACTCACCCTCAAATCCACTTTTTTGGCTGATAAACGGTATAAATGAGTGTCCAATAGTGTTGTCTACATATCCTGGTCATAATTTTGTCACTTTGGTGCAAATTAGTTGAAAGTTAAACTTTCTGCCTAAAACCATCTGTGAGGCGCCATCTGCTGGCGACCTGTATTACTACATTTGAATTTTGAATCTGGCGCCAACACTGGCGCAGCAGCAAGACCTGACGTCTGAAGCAAGACCTGACGTCTGAAGCAAGACCTGACGTCTGAAGCAAGACCTGACGTCTGAAGCAAGACCTGACGTCTGAAGCAAGACCTGACGTCTGAAGCAAGACCTGACGTCTGCAGCCCCCCGCCCAGAGCTATATAAACGGCCCAGTCTCGTTCACGCCCCCTTTAGTCCTCCAGGCTACGCCCATTTAGAGGAAGATTTGAACGGAAATGTGAGTGACGTAAGCTCTGAGGAGCGGGGGTGAGAACCACTTTAAAGCTGAGGGATGTGACTTTGTAATAAACCAAATCATCGCCTTTGTCAAGTCTTTAAATCAGATTATTCAGACAGAAAAGTGAGACAGAGAGGACCACCCTCACTCAGCCAATCAGCTGTCAGCAAATAAGCTCTCAGCCAATCAGCTTTCAGCGCAAAGAGTCCAATAGTGACTCACAGGGCTCTTTCGGACACAGAAGATAATATGTTTGTGTTCTGATTTTTTCACAACATTTTACTCTCTTTTTGTTCTGAAAACTACATCTGTCATTTACATCAAAAGTTAGGTACCCGAGCTTTAAAGTGGATTCTGGATCAAAGCCCTTATGTCTCTGCGTGAGTGGGATTGAGTCTAATCTGGATTACAGCAGGTCTCAGGCAGATGGAGAACAATAACTCCCACTCTCACTTATGTTAATATACACACACGTAAACCAGGACTGGACCAGGTCTAAAGCAGGACTAAAGCAGGTCTAAAGCAGGACTAAAGCAGGTCATAACTTGACAGAGAAATGTGATGAACAAATCAGACCACAAAATGCTGTCTTATTAAAAAAACAAGTTATCTTTAGTGCAAGATCCCTGTGAGTCACTATTTGACTTTGGGCTGAGAGCTGATTGGCTGAGAGCTGATTGGCTGAGAGCTCATGAGCTGAGAGCTGATTGGCTGAGAGCTGATGAGCTGAGAGCTGATTGGCTGAGTGAGGGTGGTTCCCCCGTTTTCACTTTTCTGTCTGAAAAAGCAGATCTAAAGATGTAATAATATGGGCCTCTCAGGTGAAACCCACACGACTCAATGTTTGCACAGTTGGCTTTTGTTTGGGCTGCAGGTAACTCAGTCTGATGCTGACGGTAGGAAGACGTTCTATTGAAAAGATGAGATCAAAGAGTCTGTTTTCTCTGTCTATATTAAAGCTCGGGAACCTAACTTTCAGACCACAACATGAAACACAATCCATGTAGCTCTTGCTCTTTGCTCTGAAAACAGTTTGGATTTATCACTAGCTTCCACATGTACAGTATGTATTCATCCTGTTCTAGTCCTGCTGTAGAATTGTTTTAGACCTGCTATAGTCCTATTGTAGACCTGCTTTAGATCTGCTGTAGTCCTGCTGTAGTCCCGCTGTAGACCTGCTGTAGGTCCTGCTGTAGACCTGCTGTAGTCCTGCTGTAGACCTGCTGTAGTCCTGCTGTAGACCTGCTGTAGTCCTGCTGTAGACCTGCTGTAGGTCCTGCTGTAGTCCTGCTGTAGACCTGCTGTAGTCCTGCTGTAGACCTGCTGTAGTCCTGCTGTAGACCTGCTGTAGTTCTGCTGTAGACATGCTGTAGATCCTGCTGTAGACCTGCTGTAGGTCCTGCTGTAGACCTGCTGTAGTCCTGCTGTAGACCTGCTGTAGTCCTGCTGTAGACCTGCTGTAGAGCCTGCAGTAGTCCTGCCTTTGTCCTGCTGTAGACCGGCTGTAGACCGGCTGAGACCCTCCCTGTGCAGGATGTGGGTCAGTGATGCGCTGGGATTACAGCAGATTACGGAGGTGTGATTGTATGTTACACTTTCTCTATTATTCTGACCTCATCATCATATGGAGCTTTAGGACCAGCACGACCCGCGCACTCGGGCGAAGCTAACGCTGAGGACAAAGCACAGACTCTAATGTCCATATTGTTCAAAAGTCCATCCATTTTCTTCCCCTTGATCCATTTCTGGGTCGGGGGGTGGCAGTCAGAGCTGCACCAGCCCCTCACTGATCCTCCTACAGGTGCTGAGTCCACAGGAGCCTTGACTATTCAACAGGGTCTTCAGGTAAAGTGGGGTTAAGTGTCTTGCCCAAGGACACAACGACAGCAGACAGTGGGAGTCGTGAAGTAGGTCTTATGGTGGATTCAAACTAGAGGTGCACCAATCAGGATTTTTTTGGCCGTTCACCGATCATTAAAATTTTGATCGGCCGATACCGATCATTGCCGATCCGATCAAATATTTATAATATTATTGACTATTACACGGCTCCTCACAGCAGCAGTAGAACGCTCCATTGATTTGAATGTCATTTCAAAACGTTCTACCGGTCATTATTTTCTATAACGGACCTCTCAAAACAATAATGACCGCTGCCCTTTGGCAACGCACTCTCTGCTTGTCTTTCAAATACGTGGATAACTCCGCAAGTAGTTCCGGCCACTCCGGAGCTAGCCACGCTCAATCAACACACTTAAATGTTAATCGGAGAATACTGTATACATATAAATTCTTCACACACGTGTACGTGTGTGAAGAATTTTTTCTGGTCTTGTCTTCATGACAAAAACACTATTTCTCTGCGTCAAAAAGCGATTGTGAAAAACCCGGAAAGTAGTTCCGGCCGCTCATTAAACGCAAATGCCAATCAATCAACGCAATTAAATGTTAATGGAAGAGTACATTATACAAATACATTATTAATACAAGTTCACGGAAGTTTTCAGAATTTTCCGTTTACATTTTCATGACAAAAACACTGATGTAATGCGAGAAAAGGCGATCCCGAAAAACCCGGAAGTAGATACTGGCACATTTTAGGAACATTTGCAGAGGATGGAGTTATGGATTTAGGTTAAGTTTATGTTTGGGTCACTCACCGCTGATGTTCAGGATTCTTTGTTCAGTTTTCATGCAGTTCCAGAGAGTTCTAGTTTGGAAGTTGATAGCCTAACTGTTGCTAGCATAGCCACGGGAAAGCCTTTGGGAACTATTTTTTATTTTCTTTCTTATTTTAAATAAACCTTTCGGCATTCCTAAAAGTGGACTGAGGTTTATGTTGTGTGTTCTGTCGGTATAAAGCCGTGTAAAGCAGACGGCTTTACTGGTACTTATTTTCCGATACTGACCTGCATAATATACGTTATCCCTTACTAAATGAATAGGACTAGTTATTCACTTTATAACTAATCTTTCAAAACCATCAAGGTATTAGATAGTATAAATAAAATGCCCTAGGGGTACTCAAGACAAAAAGGTTGGGAACCACAACGTTACAGAGCATTGAGATACGTGAAAATAAATGCTATGAAATACTGCAATACTGTATAGGTTGCATTTCTAAACTGATTAAAAAGAGAGTTAAGGCAATGTTTTTTCTTCAGTAATATTAGCATCTCAGCATTTGCAGGGGTTAGTTTATTACGTTTATCATCCTGAATAGTCCCGCTGCGCTACACAGCCGCTCACTGTCTACACTTGTGCATGGAGCGCAGAGGAAAGCAAGCGCTGCTTTGGCCAATGCAGGGAAGCGCTTTTTATTTTCCTTTCAATAAGCTGCTGACAGCTCCGAGGCGTAACTACGTAGTTTTCCAGTAACGCTGCATCTGCGACACTGGACTGTCTGTACTACCACTACACTCATCTTAATCCAACATGTCTGTGAACATAACATGCAAAGTCCCGACACGGGATGAGTTCAGCATCTCGCTGCTGAGCGTGTTTGGTGTCTGCGCGGTGTGACTCTGGCTCGTTATTATAATAGCTCCATGCTCTGGCTGAGCTTGGAGTGTCAATGTGAGAATATACAGTTTGGTAAAGCTGCGGCAGGCAGACATCAGTCAAATAGTTCCGCGATGGCATTTCAACCCAGCGCTTTCCGCAAAAGACAAGGGCTGGTGGCAGAGGGAAATAAATTCCATAACTTTCGTGCATATTTCATGTTGTTTCTTACGTCATTACTGTGTGGTTGTTGCCGCTGTAGAATCTCTGTTACTGATAGTTGCATGAGTTGCTTGTTTGAGCATTTTTGACGAGAGAAAGTAACTTGTGCGCATGAATCCTCATGTCATCTGATCGGTCTTTTTGATTTCACCGTTCACGCAAATTAAGCCGTGATCGGCCGATTATAATCGGCTACCGATCGATTGGTGCACTTTTAATTCAAACCCATGACCTTCAGGCTCAAAGGCCAATGCTCTACCAACTGAGCGACTGTCACCCTTGTTCAAAAGTCATTAGTGAAAACCTCCATCTTTCTCAGATTAATCCATAGACCAGGTTAGATTCAACAGAGCAAGAAGTACATCCAGCAAACCCACAAACGGTTAGGTTTAGACCTGGTTTAGACCTGCTTTAGACCTGGTTTATACCTGGTTTAGACCTGGTTTATACCTGGTTTAGACCTGGTTCAGAGCTGGTCCAACCTTGCTTTAGACCTGGTTCAGAGCTGGTTCAGACCTGGTTCAGACCTGGTTCAAACCTGGTTTAGACCTGGTTCAGACCTGGTTCAAACCTGGTTTAGACCTGGTTTAGACTTGGTTCAGAGCTGGTTTAGACCTGGTTCAGACCTGGTTCAGAGCTGGTTTAGACCTGTTTCAGAGCTGGTCCAGACCTGGTTTAGACCTGGTTTAGACCTGGTTCAGAGTTGGCCCAGACCTGGTTCAGGCCGGGTTAAGTCCTGGTCCAGTACCTCCAAAGCCCGGCCTCATGGCGAAGTCGTGCTCCTCTATCCTCAGCAGTTGTTCGGTCTTGATCAGGAGAGTCTTGGTGCTGTCCTGGCGCTTCAGCTTATAGTCAATCCTCCTGAAAAACACAAACCTGGATCAGTCCTGGGTCAGACCTGGGTCAGACCTGGGTCAGACCTGGATCAGTCCTGGGTCAGTCCTGGGTCAGTCCTGTCCAGTCTGATGATGAGGACCTATCGGAGGATATTGGAGTGACGTGGTTGTTTATAGTTTCTCCTCTGGTCACATGACCAGTTTTTCACCATGGTCAAGTTTATTTATATAGCACATTTTAAAAACAGACAGGACTGTCATTAAGTGCTTACCAGACATTACAAAATACAACACACAAATAAGATACAGCATAAAATGAAATGCAGGACACTATCATAAATGTTTCAATATTGCTTGTGTTAAAAAGAAATGTGTCTTTAGCTGTGATTTAAAGCTCTCTACAGAGGGTTAGCTCTCTACAAAGGGTTAGCTCTCTACAGAGGGTTAGCTCTCTACAAAGGGTTAGCTCTCTACAGAGGGTTAGCTCTCTACAGAGGGTTAGCTCTCTACAAAGGGTTAGCTCTCTACAGAGGGTTAGCTCTCTACAAAGGGTTAGCTCTCTACAGAGGGGGCAGCTCTGACACAATAAGGGAGAGCGTTCCAGAGTTTGGGCCCTGCGACAGCAAAGGCTCGGTCTCCTCTGGTTTTTAGTCTAGTCCTGGGACAGTGCAGAAGGAGCTGGTCAGAGGACCTCAGTGCTCTTCCCGGAGTGTGCAAAGTAAGCAAATCAGTCAGATATGACAGAACCAGGTCGTATAGAGATTTAAATACTAACAATACAATTTTAAACTTAATTCTAAAAGCGACAGAAAGCCAATGTAGAGACGACAGCACAGGAGTGATGTGCTCGTGTCGTCTGGTGCCAGTCAGCCGCCGAGCTGCTGCATTCTGCACCAGCTGCAGTCTGTGGACTGAGGACTGGTCAAGGCCATAGTACAGAGAGTTACAATTGTCCAGCCGTGAGGATATGAGGGCGTGGACAACCCTCTCAAGGTCACCACGGACCCTTCTTGTGTGAATACTTCTTTTTAGCATGTCTGTATGTCTCCTCTGATCTTATTGTGTTAAAGTTCTTATACACGGTGCATTTCTCACTGAGGCTTTAAAAGTACTGTCTTCTTCCACTCAGCGGGATGTAAACAAAGATCCTCCTTGTCTCAAGAACATCACATGAACCCACTCCAGATCCTGTTTGGACCTCACCTTGTCTGAGTGGTCTGGACCTGAGACCTGTTTGAAGGCCGTGTGTTTGTTCCTGTGCTGAGGCAGGACACGGAGTCCAGTCTTTGATCTGAGGCGACTGTGGCCTCGACTCTCAAGTGACTATTGTTTAAGGATCTCTGTGTATTCAGCATTATCTGGGCCTTAAAGACCAGAGAGGGAGACCAGAGAGGGAGACCAGAGAGAGAGACCAGAGAGAGAGACCAGAGAGGGAGACCAGAGAGAGAGACCAGAGAGGGAGACCAGAGAGGGAGACCAGAGAGAGAGACCAGAGAGAGAGACCAGAGAGGGAGACCAGAGAGAGAGACCAGAGAGGGAGACCAGAGAGGGAGACCAGAGAGAGAGACCAGAGAGGGAGACCAGAGAGGGAGCCAGAGAGAGAGACCAGAGAGAGAGACCAGAGAGAGAGACCAGAGAGGGAGACCAGAGAGAGAGACCAGAGAGAGAGACCAGAGAGAGACCAGAGAGAGACCAGAGAGAGACAGAGAGAGAGACCAGAGAGAGAGAGACCAGAGAGGGAGACCAGAGAGAGAGACCAGAGAGAGAGACCAGAGAGAGACCAGAGAGAGAGACCAGAGAGGGAGACCAGAGAGGGAGACCAGAGAGAGAGACCAGAGAGGGAGACCAGAGAGGGAGACCAGAGAGAGAGACCAGAGAGAGAGACCAGAGAGAGAGACCAGAGAGGAGACCAGAGAGAGAGACCAGAGAGAGAGACCAGAGAGAGAGACCAGAGAGAGGAGACCAGAGAGAGAGACCAGAGAGAGAGACCAGAGAGGGAGACCAGAGAGAGACCAGAGAGAGAGACCAGAGAGAGAGACCAGAGAGGGAGACCAGAGAGAGAGACCAGAGAGAGAGACCAGAGAGAGAGACCAGAGAGAGAGACCAGAGAGGGAGACCAGAGAGAGAGACCAGAGAGAGAGACCAGAGAGAGAGACCAGAGAGGGAGACCAGAGAGGGAGACCAGAGAGAGAGACCAGAGAGAGAGACCAGAGAGAGAGACCAGAGAGAGAGACCAGAGAGAGAGACCAGAGAGGGAGACCAGAGAGAGAGACCAGAGAGAGACCAGAGAGAGAGACCAGAGAGGGAGACCAGAGAGGGAGACCAGAGAGAGAGACCAGAGAGAGAGACCAGAGAGAGAGACCAGAGAGAGAGACCAGAGAGACCAGAGAGGGAGACCAGAGAGAGAGACCAGAGAGAGAGACCAGAGAGAGACCAGAGAGGGAGACCAGAGAGAGAGACCAGAGAGAGAGACCAGAGAGAGAGACCAGAGAGAGAGACCAGAGAGGGAGACCAGAGAGAGAGACCAGAGAGAGACCAGAGAGAGAGACCAGAGAGAGAGACCAGAGAGAGAGACCAGAGAGAGACCCAGCAGAGAGAGAGACCAGAGAGGGAGACCAGAGAGAGAGACCAGAGAGGGAGACCAGAGAGAGAGACCAGAGAGAGAGACCAGAGAGAGAGACCAGAGAGAGAGACCAGAGAGAGAGACCAGAGAGGGAGACCAGAGAGAGACCAGAGAGAGAGACCAGAGAGGGAGACCAGAGAGAGAGACCAGAGAGGGAGACCAGAGAGAGACCAGAGAGAGAGACCAGAGAGGGAGACCAGAGAGAGACCAGAGAGAGAGACCAGAGAGGGAGACCAGAGAGAGAGACCAGAGAGGGAGACCAGAGAGAGACCAGAGAGAGAGACCAGAGAGAGAGACCAGAGAGAGAGACCAGAGAGGGAGACCAGAGAGAGAGACCAGAGAGAAACCTGAGAGAGAGACCAGAGAGAGAGACCAGAGAGAGAGACCAGAGAGAGAGCCCAGAGAGAAACCTGAGAGAGAAACCTGAGAGAGAGACCTGAGAGAGAGACCAGAGAGAGAGACCAGAGAGGGAGACCAGAGAGAGACCAGAGAGAGAGACCAGAGAGAGAGACCAGAGAGGGAGACCAGAGAGGGAGACCAGAGAGAGACCAGTGAGAGAGAGACCAGAGAGAGAACTGAGAGAAAATAATGAGACCATAGTTGATAAATGCTGACAAGGAAGATGTGAAACTTTTTTGTTTGAACAGTTTTTGTTCCGTGTGAATTACAGAGAAATTTTCTCCACAGTCTTTTGTTACTTACACTTAACCCAGTTTTAAATATTTTTAGTTTCTTTCTTTTGACCTTCCACCTTTCCATACTTTGGAACATTCCAGTGGAGGCTGCAGGGCATTTGGAGCAGGCTCATGTTTTGTTTTGAGTCTGTCTGTAAAGCCGTCACGCCCCACCTTTAAATATGTTTATGTCCCAATGAAGTGTCTTAGATCCACAGACACTCCTCAGCCACAGACTACACCCGACACACTCATTAACACTCATTAACACGGTCTGCCCCGCTCAGCATTTAACCCAGAGCACAGGGCTCAGAGAGAGACCAAAGAGAGACCAGAGAGAGCACAGGGCCTTCTCTGTGGTCTTAAACCCAGAGCACAGGGCCTTCTCTGTGGTCTTAAACCAAGAGCACAGGGCCTTCTCTGTGGTCTTAAACCAAGAGCACAGGGCCTTCTCTGTGGTCCTAAACCCAGAGCACAGGGCCTTCTCTGTGGTCTTAAACCTAGAGCACAGGGCCTTCTCTGTGGTCTTAAACCCAGAGCACAGGGCCTTCTCTGTGGTCCTAAACCCAGAGCACAGGGCCTTCTCTGTGACCTTAAACCCAGAGCACAGGGCCGTCTCTCTGTGGTCTGAAACCCAGAGCACAGGGCCTTCTCTGTGATCTTAAACCCAGAGCACAGGGCCTTCTCTGTGGTCTTAAACCCAGAGCACAAGGCCTTCTCTGTGGTCTTAAACCCAGAGCACAGGATCCTATAGTTAGTAACATGATGTTCTTATTTGTAGTAGTTTTATCTTAAACTCCATAAATCTGTCTTTATGACTTCAGTTCTGGGCGTAACAAAGGCACTTTAATAACGTCCTAAGAATAGATCAAGGACGTATTCTTTCTACGTTGTACCCATCCCCTCGTTAGGGCTCATGGACGAAGTTTGGCTCCACTCGCTCTGTCAAGTTCAAATGTTCTGTTGTTTAGCACTCTCAGAACATCAGTGTAGCGGAGGTTAGCATAGCCTCAAGTCCGCCATCTTTGTAGTTCTAAATATTGAAACGCAAAACTGAAAACATGTTATTCTAGGGGCTCAAATCAGAAGTTAAGCTGGGATAGGCCTGGGTAATACTGGGTAATACTGGGATAGGCCTGGATAATACTGGGTAGTACTGGGTATTACTGGGATAGGCCTGGGTAATACTGGGTAGTACTGGGATAGGCCTGGGTAATACTGGGTAGACCAGTGTTTTTTATTCTTTATTTTTTATTATCTCTTTCTGACTGTTGCACTGAGCCAAAGCAATTTCCAAGTCTGTGACTTCCTGTTACTTACGTGGCAATAAAAATTATTCTGATTCTGATACTAGGATAGGCCTGGGTAATACTGAGTTAGGCCTGGGTAGTACTGGGATAGGCCTGAGTAATACACATATTTTCCACTGTAGAAATGATGTCACAAAAACAAAATAGTAAAAGTAAAACAAGCAGAAGAACCAAACTTATAAACCAGACCAAATGGGACTAAACTAGTTCTGGCTCTTAACAGTTTGCTTCTTTCACTGGATTTCAGATCAAAGTATTTTTCACATCTTTAGAGCTGCTTTCTCAGACACTTCCAAACTTTCTGTTGGACAAACTACTTATGTTATCTATGACACTAAAGTTACCGTAGCTTTAAGGGCCAGACACAATCAACTGTGAATTAAGTGAAAACGGGGGATCGTCATAGCAACGGCTCCTGAAGGCAAACGTGTAAATGTGAAAATGTGACTGAATCCGATAAAACAGATCATTCCAGGACAAGGATCTGAAATACGGGTCAAACTATTTAGACCAGCTCTGGTTTCTCATTGACATCAATCATTTGGAAAAGCATTTATAGTTCCACACCTGTCGTCTGGTTTGGGACCCACTGATCCACTCATTCTCAAAGTGATTTTAATCTGTCCAAATGTCCAACAATCCTATAATATACGTGTGTGTGTGTTTCGTGTGTGTTTAAGTGTCTCATGTGTGTGTGTCTGTGTACGTCTCTCGTGTGTGTGTATGGCAGGGCAGAGGGGCAGCACCCATGGGCTACTTCTGTGAAAGGCCAAAACAATTAATTTAATATGGTTTGGCGCAATTCTTGGGTTCCATATGACGTCAGGGCAGTGGCGCGAATAAACAATCGTAGGACAAGACGTGACGTATCCTGGCGGTGCAGTCTGCCGGGTTTATACACGGAGATACAGAAGAAGAAGAAGCGCTGTCAAAATGCCATCTTTTTGTGCGGTGTACAAAAAAAAAAGAAAAAAAGAAAGACAAGAGTTTCTTCATGTCCCGACTGTGGTCTCAAAAAAAGGACACTTTGAAAAAATCACTGCAATGAGGCGAGGTGGATCAAGGCTTTCCCAGATAAGCGCCCCCTGCAGGTCATCCCAATGAAAAGCAGCAATTTCTTCTGTTTTTTTTTTTTTTTTTCAAAAATACCCAAAATCAAGACTCTTTTGAGAAATGTTTTTTAGTGCTCCCTTAGAATTGAGTTCCCCCAATTAAGACTGTTACAACAACTGTACACCGAGGAGGAGAGCCTTTTGACTCCAAAACAAACTTTACATGGTTTTCAATGGGAGCAAAACTGAGTCGTCCCACCTCTGCTCATTCGCCCCCTACAGGCCAGTTTAATGAAACCCAAGAATAAAAAAAATATGAAGTTTTGTTTTTATCCATTGAAAGTGATGAGTCATCATAATAGCCACCTGCACTTAGCCCAAAGAGGCAAATAATGACTCACTTGGCTCTTACTTATATAAAAGATAACACTTTTGCTAATTAGAAGACAACATGTTGACAACATTTACATAAAGAAGTAAAACTTACCCTCCGAACTTGAACTTGCTATTTTCTCCCAGAAACACCTCTTTGTGCTTCCGTCGGGTCGATGTCCGGGCCCCGAGGCTGGAGACGAAGGCCAGCGACACCAGCAGCCCAACGACGGTCCAGCCCGAGCGCCACCTCATGGTCCACAGCGGTACTGCATTCTATCAGTGCTCCACACTTTGAGGTTTTATTCCAACAATAGAGCGCTCAAAGCAAGATAAAAAATGTAATGTTCTTTGTGTTGGCGCAGCATGACGATAGCTTTAGCATCAAGTCTGCCATCAAAATCGGAAGTTTGGCTTAAGAAATGGTTTTTAATTGTTCAAAATGTCTACAGCTGAAACATTGTCATAGCTCATAGCAGATAATCATCCAGACTGTCGTTGTATGCTAATATGTATGCTAATATGTATGCTTCAAGTCCGCCATCTTTGTCAGTTAAAAAAATAGTCCGTCTTCGCCCATCTGTTCAAAACGTGTACCTAGATTTAAAAGTAGACCCTGTAACATAGTTGTATGTTCCTACTGTATTTCAAAACCTCAGGTCCGCCATCTTTGTAATACACATTTGGGGAACAAAAATATTCAGATTTCGTAAATTATGGGAGTTACAACGATTTATCTTGGATTTTCTTGAAGCAACATTTCAAACAATCTATGAGATGCAAGGTATACGACAATTAACTTAGTTTGAACATTTGTGTCAAAAACTAAATTACAACCCACTTCTTTTTGCGTCATTGGAGGCTGAGAAATCCTCCTGCGCTGCCTTTTCCAGTAAGAAAACAGCGTTCAAGGGGATTGTGGTTCAGTGAAAACCAGAGCAGAGTGGTCCCATATAAACACATATATATAGAAACCTATATTTGGGCTCAGTTTTTCCTAAACTGTGGTTAACATGTGCATCTGTTATATCTGAATGACTCACTGCCCCGTGTTTAAAGCAGCCATTACGTGTTGCTGCTTCTATAGAGTGATAATATCTCTGTATGATTATATTTTTAGAACATTTAAAGTCTCAATATTGATCAATGGGTTTAGGTGAATAAATTACTAAGCCGCGCACGGATCGCTCTAAAAACATGACATTAAATCACTCAAAGCAGTTTTCTTAACAACAAAACGTTGCATTTCATTCACTTTGGTTTTCTTATTTATAAATCAAATTCGCCCAAAACAGACACATTTAGAATCCCATATCCCATCAGTATTGTCATAGGGAAGATGCCTGCTCCCCAAAAAGTCAAAACAACTGGGAAAGCGTTAACTTACTGATATCTGCTAGAACTGCTCATACTCTAATGCAAAGTCTATGTTCCTCTTTAAAACTTGCTGTTTGACAGGTTTTAAAATAAAAACAAAAAATGCCCTTCAATAAATAGCTTGAAAATACTGTAAAACTTCTGGTCTCGGGTCGGTCTGCGTCGCTATCACGCAGTTAGATTTGACTAATTGGAATACACAGCTAAGATTACAACTTTTGCCCCTAAAATAGAAGAAAAAAAACATCTGACTGTGTTGAAAAATAGAAAATATAACGCAATTATCATAAACAAGAGGAAATAGGATCGAAATGACTTGTTATCTGTTGGAATTGAGCACATATATTATCATTTCAGTAACGTTTGACTCAGTCCTGATCATAGACAATAGATAACTACTAAAATCAATAAAGAATCTAAAAACACTGAATAGAACGTGTCCTGCCCAAAAAATCTCGACTCTAGTGTTTGTGCGTGTGCAGAGACCGACGGGGAAACCGAAAGGAAAAGGATGGAGTTCTCCAGATTTGCCAGCCCTACCGTGATAATGTAATAATGTCTGAACACTGTAAAGTTCGGAGCCCTGTGTCCATGCGGCGTCCGTGTAGATCCGTGTGGCTCCGTGTGGCTCCGTGTAGGTCCGTGTAGGTCCCTGTGCGTCCGTGTAGGTCCGTATGGCTCCGTTCCGGTATGTGTGGGTCTTTTCCGGTCCGTGTGGGTCCGTATGGCTCTGTTCCGGTCCGTATGACTCCGTATAGATCCGTATGGCTCCGTTCCGGTCCGTATGGCTCCGTTTGGGTCCGTGTGGCTCCGTGTAGGTCCGTGTGGGTCCGTATGGCTCCGTGTGGGTCCGTATGGCTCCGTTTGGGTCCGTGTGGCTCCGTGTGGGTCCGTATGGCTCCGTGTTGGTCCGTGTGGGTCCGTATGGCTCCGTTCCGCTCCGTGTGGCTCCGTGTCTTTAAACCGGGACCCGTCTGCTCTCGGCCTTGATTAAAATCGATATAAAACGTGTTCTCGCCGCTGAGGAGTCACTCTAATTCTGCATAATCCTCTTATACTTTCTGCGACCCATAAAACCGGCCGCGGATCACCGGGCCAACATCCCCACGGGGCCAGCACACCTCCGGGGTCAGCACACCTCCGGGGACTGTGATCAGGCAATCACAGCCGGTCACCGTGGAGCCGGAGGGACATCCAGCTGCAAAAGCATTACTCCTGGTTCTGTCATTTAAGACCGTTATGTTCCAGAGGTGTCAGACTCAGGTCAGGGTTGTTTATTCTTATCATGAAGGTTTTTGGACATGGCTTTTATGAGAAATGAGTTTCATTATTATTTTATGGGAGATTTTTCTGGGCCAAATATAAAGTTAAGCACATTGTTCTATATTTAACAATTTAACTTCTAATGATGATAACATGTAGTGTGAGGCTGTAGACCCAGGACTGAGGCTGTAGACCCAGGACTGAGGCTGTTGAATGAGAGTTTAGATCAGCTTTTTCAGAGAGCAGTGATAAAGAGAGGACCACCCTCACTCATCCAATCTCTCAGCTCTCAGCCCTAGGAGTCAAATAGTGACTCACAGGGCTCTTTTAAGAAAGAGCCCTGTGAGTTACTATAAATGAAGAAAGGTGGTTTGAATTGTTCACAGCATTAGTTTGTATAGCACAGTTCATACACAAGGCAACTCATATTTATGAAAAATAGTCTTTTTTGTAAATCACTGTTTGTGCTGTACAAATAAACTTTGAAAATGGTCTAAAGACTAAAACACTTGAGGCTCGGGCAGAGGCAATCCTCCTCAGACAGTTTCCCTAAACATAAAGAGTCTTCATACAATGGAAGACTCTTTAATCTTCTCTGTCTGATCTGACAGAGCAGCTGTTTTGTAAAGACGAATGGGCCAAACTTCAGCCCTTCATGTTTGACCTCTTCAGTTCAAACTCTCTCAAAGGGACAGTATCCTGTATACATGATCTAATTTAGTTAGCTTGTTTGACAACTATATTCGTCTTTGTGTGTCTGTTTTTAGTCCTGCTTTAGTCCTCCTTTAGTCCTGCTTTAGACCTGCTTTAGTCCTGCTTTAGTCCTGCTTTACGACCTGCTTTTGTCCTGCTTTAGTCCTGCTTTAGACCTGCTTTAGTCCTTCTTTAGTCCTGCTTTACGACCTGCTTTAGTCCTGCTTTAGTCCTGCTTTACGACCTGCTTTAGTCCTGCTTTAGTCCTGCTTTAGTCCTGCTTTAGTCCTTCTTTAGTCCTGCTTTACGACCTGCTTTAGTCCTGCTTTAGTCCTGCTTTAGTCCTTCTTTACGACCTGCTTTAGTCCTGCTTTAGACCTGCTTTAGTCCTGCTTTACGACCTGCTTTAGTCCTGCTTTAGTCCTGCTTTAGACCTGCTTTAGTCCTTCTTTAGTCCTGCTTTATGACCTGCTTTAGTCCTACTTTAGTCCTGCTTTAGTCCTTCTTTAGTCCTGCTTTAGTCCTGCTTTAGTCCTTCTTTAGTCCTGCTTTAGTCCTGCTTTAGTCCTTCTTTAGTCCTGCTTTAGACCTACTTTTGTTCGGTGTAAGAACTGGAGGACCCAAAAATGCATAATAGACAAAAGATTTATTTACAAAAATCAAAATTAGGAGTAGCCTGGTTTAAAGGACACAGGACGGGACCAAGACTGGACCAAGACGGGATCAGGACGGGACGGAACCAGGACAGAGGGCGACGGAGAGGAGGTAAGAGACTGACCAATGACGGGACCAGGACGGGACTGAAGATGATGGTGCAGGCTCCAGGCTGGGTACTGAAAAAATGAAGAAAAGCGCATCAGTACAAAATAAACTTCAACACTATGAAGTACAGGACAAGCCAAAGGTCGATTCACCGCTGGTGTGACGGCACGTACTGGCACTGGAGACAAGGTCAGGATGGTTTATATGCTGCATCTGGTGATTGCTGGAATGTAGATCAGGAGCTCTGCAGGTGAGATGAGGAACCCAAACAGGAGGGAAAGGAGGAGCAGCAGAGAGGAATCACTACAGTTTTATTATTTTATTTATTTTAGTTGTAGTATATGTAGTATGTATATATATATATATATATATATATATGGGACAGCACAGAGGCACTCATCATGGCTGCACAGGAGAAGGCCCTGAGCACCAGAGCGATAGAGGCCCAGATATACCACACCAGACAAGACCCCAGTCTTGTCTGGTTGTGCAAAGAGGCACCTGAGACGATCCAACACATAACTGCAGGGTGGAAGATGCTGCAGTGAAGGCCTACATGGAACGCCATAACCAAGTGGCTGCATAGTGTACAGAAACATCTGTGCAGAGTATGGGCTGGAAACCCCAAGGTCTAAGTGGGAAACTCCTCCAAAGGTGGTGGAGAATGAGCAAAGATCCTGTGGGACTTCCAGATACAGACCGACCGAATGGTAATGAACCAACCTGACATTGTGGTGGAGGACAAAGGGCAGAGGACAGCCGTGGTGGTGGACAAAGGGCAGAGGACAGCCGTGGTGGAGGACAAAGGGCAGAGGACAGCCGTGGTGGTGGACAAAGGGCAGAGGACAGCCGTGGTGGTAGACAAAGGGCAGAGGACAGCCGTGGTGGAGGACAAAGGGCAGAGGACAGCCGTGGTGGTGGACAAAGGGCAGAGGACAGCCGTGGTGGTAGACAAAGGGCAGAGGACAGCCGTGGTGGTAGACAAAGGGCAGAGGACAGCCGTGGTGGTAGACAAAGGGCAGAGGACAGCCGTGGTGGTGGACAAAGGGCAGAGGACAGCCGTGGTGGTAGACAAAGGGCAGAGGACAGCCGTGGTGGTGGAAAAAGGGCAGAGGACAGCCGTGGTGGTAGACAAAGGGCAGAGGACAGCCGTGGTGGTGGACGTGGCAATTCCAAGCGATGGTAACATCCGGAACAAAGAACATGAAAAGCTTGAGAAATACCAAGGTCTCAGAGAGGAGCTGGAGAGGGCCTGGAGGGTAAAGGTGACAGTAGTGAGAGGGCCTGGAGAGTAAAGGTGACAGTAGTGAGAGGGCCTGGAGGGTAAAGGTCACAGTAGTGAGAGGGCCTGGAGAGTAAAGGTGACAGTAGTGAGAGGGCCTGGAGGGTAAAGGTCACAGTAGTGAGAGGGCCTGGAGGGTAAAGGTCACAGTAGTGAGAGGGCCTGGAGGGTAAAGGTCACAGTAGTGAGAGGGCCTGGAGGGTAAAGGTCACAGTAGTGAGAGGGCCTGGAGGGTAAAGGTCACAGTAGTGCCCGTGGTGATCGGTGCACTCGGGGCAGTGACCCCGAAGCTAGAAGAGTGGTTACAGCGGATCCCTGGAACAACCTCGGACATCACGGTCCAGAAATGTGCAGTGCTAGGAACAGCAAAGATACTGCGCAGAACCCTCAAGCTCCCAGGCCTCTGGTAGAGGACCCAAGCTTAGAGAGGGATAACCGCCCGCGGAGGGCCAAAGGTGAGTGGACAATTTTAGTATATATACACATATATAGTGTATATGGATAATGTATATTACGCAGGTCATTATATTATTATATATTATGATGACCTGCGTAATATACATTATTATCCCGCTTATTATACGGCTTTGTACCAACCGAACACACAAAATAAACTTCAGTCCACTCTTAGGAATGCCGAAAGATTTATTTAATGACAGTAAATTTAAATAGTTCCCAAAGGCTTTACCGTGGCTATACGAGTAACAGTTAGGCTAGTAACAGTTAGGCTAGTAACAGTTAGGCTACTAACAGTTAGGCTAGTAACAGTTAGGCTAGTAACAGTTAGGCTAGTAACAGTTAGGCTAGTAACAGTTAGGCTAGTAACAGTTAGGCTAGTAACAGTTAGGCTAGTAACAGTTAGGCTACTAACAGTTAGGCTACTAACAGTTAGGCTACTAACAGTTAGGCTACTAACAGTTAGGCTAGTAACTCCCAAACTAGAACTCTCTGGAACTGCATGAAAACTGAACACAGAATTCTGAACATCAGCGGTGAGTGACCCAAACATAAACTTAACCTAAATCCATAATTCCATCCTCTGCAAATGTTCCTAAAATGTGCCGGTATCTACTTCTGGGTTTTTTGCGATCGCTTTTTCTCGCATTAAAACAGTATTTTTGTCATGAAAACCTTAACAGATACTTCTGAAAACCTCCGGGCACGTGCATTAAGAATGTATATGAATAATGTATTCTCCCAATAACATTTAAATGTGTTATTGATTGGTATTTGCGTTTATTGAGCGTGGCTAGCGACGAAGTGGCCGGAACTACTTGTGGAGTAATCTACAAACCTGAATTACAAGCACAGAGTGCGTTGCCAAAGGGCAGCGGTCATTGTTTTCAGGTCAGAAATAATGACCGGTAGAACGTTTTGAAATACATTCAAATCAATGGAGCGTTCTGCTGCTGTGAGGAGCGTATAATAAATATATGTGTGGTTGTGTTTCTGTGTGTATAAAGTATAAAGTATAAAGTATGAAGTCTGAAGTATAAAGTATAAAGTATAAAGTATAAAGTATGAAGTCTGGAGTCTGAAGTATAAAGTATAAAGTATGAAGTATGAAGTCTGAAGTATAAAGTATAAAGTATGAAGTCTGAAGTATAAAGTATAAAGTATAAAGTATGAAGTCTGAAGTCTGGAGTCTGAAGTATAAAGTATAAAGTATGAAGTCTGAAGTATAAAGTATAAAGTATAAAGTATGAAGTCTGAAGTATAAAGTATAAAGTATGAAGTCTGAAGTATAAAGTATAAAGTATAAAGTATGAAGTCTGAAGTCTGAAGTATAAAGTATAAAGAATGAAGTATGAAGTCTGAAGTATAAAGTATAAAGAATGAAGTATGAAGTCTGAAGTATAAAGTATAAAGAATGAAGTATGAAGTCTGAAGTATAAAGTCTGGAGTCTGAAGTCTGGAGTCTGAAGTATGAAGTATGAAGCAGGAAGTAGGAAGTAGGAAGTATAAAGTCTGAAGTATAAAGTATAAAGTATGGAGTATAAAGTATGAAGTCTTATTCTGTTGTGATTGTGTTATTTTTAGTCCCGTGACTTTGACCTGACATCAGTGACAGGACTAAAACAGACTCTGCTCTTTCACTCACC